ATGGACAGGCCACTCTCAAGGGTCCTGGCTGCTCTCAGGACATTTCTGACATGCTACTACATGATTTACCCATCCCCTTCTCCCATCGCAGACGTGGCAAAGGAGCCCTGCGTGGTGGATTCACGTTGAGCTACTAACCACGGAGTCAGAGGTTTGAACCCACCAGCCGCTCCACAGGAGACAGATAAGGCTTTCTACTCCCACAGAGAGTTATGGACTTGAAAACCCCACAGGAGCCAGTTGTTCTACCCTGTCCCAGAGAGTGGCTGTGAGTTGGCATTGACTGGATGGCAGTGATGGATGGCAAAACAAGCAGCTACAAAGCTTGCCTGGGGTCACCAGGCTGGGAAAGGGACTTGTGCCCAGGTAGTCTACTTCTGGTGCCACTACTGCAGACCCTGGGTCTAGCCTGGCTCTGCCATGCTTCCTGTGACCTGGGAGGTCCTCCCACCCTGCACCTCCCTTTGCCCATCTGGTCATGCATTCCCTGCCTTGAAGACCCCTTGGTGGATGCAAGCTGCTCAGGCTCTGACAGCGGAGCAGCAGGCAGCTAGCTGACTGGGTTTTAAATCCCGAACTGCCAACTGCAGGGCCTGGGGCAGACTTCTTCCCCTCTTGGGGCCTCAGGAGCCTTGTCCTGCTGCTCCAGGATTCTGAGGATACTGGTGGGCCCAGCAGGGCCTCATCCACTCACCTGGGAGCTGAGCAGCTTGAGGTACTGGGTGTTCATGGTTTGGTAGATGCGGCGGTACTGCAGGTTCACAAAAAAGCTGCCAGGGAGTAGAAGACCAGGGAAGGGGAGAAAGTCAACCGATGGGACCTCTTCCGCCTGGGGGACAGGCAGCTGGCTACCACAGGCCCCTGGCCCATCCCTTTTTTGGGATGGAGGCGCTGAGGTTCCGTAATCCTCAACCTTCCCTCATTGAGCAACTTCGAGGGATAACTTGGTTGTTGTCACAGGAATTGGGGGAGCAACTGGCGTTTGGCATTTCTTGCCTGGAGTCAGCGAGTTTCGAGTCCCAGCCAAGTAATGTGTGGGGACTGATCAGTCAGCAGCCCCCGTTAGCCCCTAGCTCAAAGGGGATCTGGGCACCTAGGAATGGCCTAGGGTGGGACTCGAGGGGTGGGGGTGGGGGGATTTGGGACAGTAGCTACCTACCACGTTGACAGAGGGCATCTATATTGTAATCACTAATTTGGCCATTTTTTAACAACTTGGCTGAAAGACAACCAATCAGAGGCCTGGGATGCTCCACGCCCTGGGCCCCTTGAGCAGCACTAGGCAGAGGTGCCCCACCTTCCGCCCTGCCCGGCGGTCCCCCAGTCTCACTTGCACACGTCCCACTCCGGCAGCTGCGCGGGGATGTGCAGGGCCTTCCGCACGCCGAGGTTGTTGAGGTAGGTGGACATGGCTGTGCTGTTGGTGCATGGGGGATCCAAGCGCGTCTTACCCCCAGAACGCAGCAGGGTCTGGGGGCACAGAGCAGCCAGTCAGCCTTCGAAAGCCCCCTGCCCCTCGCTGGTGCGAGGAGGAAGGCCACCCCCACCCCTCCCAACTACCACCACACACACCTGATACCAAGCCTGCTTGAGGGGCAGGCGAGTGAAGATGTTACCCAGGTCATGGATCACAACGGTGTTCTTCTCCTTCCTGTAGGGGGAGATGGGGGCATGGGTGCCTGAGACCCTGGGGTGGGGTCAGGGGGCAAGGGGCACACGGCAGGGCCTACCTGATGTGGCCGGGGACCCCGCCAGCACAGGGGGCGTAGAGGTTGTAGATGTTGAGGCCAGAACTCCCCACGATGTGTGACACTTCATTAAGCTGCAAGGACACAGGCAGCCACTGCTTTCCTGACTCTCCACCACTGGCCAATTTGTCCCCAGGGTTCCACTCACGGCCGCTCTGACTTCATCTCCCACCACCCGCTTCCTCACTTTCGTCACAGGTAGGGAGACCGGAGGCTCAATGCAGGGGCTCTCCCACCCGGAAGTTCAGGCCCCAGCTGCCCTTCACTTCAGGGCACTGGGACTCGAAGCAAAGGGACTTCCACGGTCCCAGCCTCGGTTTCCTCAGCTGGGGCACTGGCTAGGGCGGTGCTCCTTGCAGCAGGAGCCTGAGATGATGCCTGGGCCACACAGTGGGCATCTACGCAGCACCTGGCACGTGGTGGGAGCCCCGGTGGTGTCGTCACAAGTTGGGCTGCAATCCAAAAGGCCAGCAGTTTGAAAAACACCAGCCGCTCCATGGGAGAAAAACTGGGCCGCCAAGAGTGACAGTGTCGGAAACTCACAGGGGCAGTTCTACCCTGTCCTATAGGGCCACTATGGGTCAGCATGACTCAATGGCAGTGTTTTTGGCACTTGGTAGCAGGTCCCTGAGAAATGGGAAGTCCTTCCCCCCAATAGGGGCTATCGGACTTATAACAACCAGTGCGGCTGGTGGGGACCCAGCGCATATCGAGAGCCCCAGAGAGCACAGGATGGCTGAGGTGCCGGACAGGCAAGCAATGGAGGATGGGGCCAGGGAGTGCACCCTGGGAGGAATTGGGTCCCATGGCCAGGGTGAGGTGGCAGGGTAGACGCAGCAGCTCACGTGTTCCACGCAATCCGGGTCTTTGTTGTCATAGAAGTTACACTTGCCTTCGGAGCAGCAGTGGGTCTGGAGGGATGACCACAGCCTGTTAGGGACCAGAATGAAAGTGTTTAGACCCTGTGGGCAGAAAATGTGACACTGCAGCTCCTCCCTCCAATCCCCATCAAGGCTGGTCCCAGGGCACTGGGACTCCATCACGGGGCGGTATAGGAGCCGCCAAACCCAGCTCCCTCAGCCACGCAGCCAGCTCTCCTTCCAAACCCCAAAGCGAACCCACTGCCGTCAAGGAAACACAAACTCCGGGATATTACAGGCTGCAGGATAACTGCCTTCCGGGGTTTCCCAGGCTGTAAATCTTTACAGAATCCACTGCCACATCTTACTCCCGCCCCAGCCTTCCTTAGTCACTTCAGAGCCTGCTCTCTTTCCATTGACCTCTGGGCTCCAAGCACTTCTAACAGAACCATCCCAGCCCAAGTCCTGCTCTTAAACCAGGCCGGGCAAGGTCCTGGGACTTCACGCCTGAGAGCGTATGACAGGGCCCGCCCTGAGATTGCCCAACAGCCCCTGTCCCATACCTGTTCCCCAGGAGACCATGGTAGTAGGCAAAGTAGACCAGGGAGTTGTCATTCTGCTCATAGGAGGAGAGCCCATTGCCCACGGCCAGCCCCTGTGAAACAGCCAAGGTTGTTCAGCTCAACTGGAGGAGGAGGGAGGGGAGCCTCCCTTGACCTCCACCCAGTCCTCAGCAATCAGGAGGTTGAAACCCGGAGTGGTTTGTAGGGGTGAGTGAAGTCCCTCACAGGTAAGAGCGAGCTTCCTGTGGAGGGAGGCACTCAAGCAGACAAGGTCAGTTAATAGTAGGGGTGCCACAAAGGAGACTGGGTTGGATGGGAGAAGGGCTTGGCCCTTTCTGACTTAGCCAGTTGACCGCCCTCCTCCACTGGTGACGCACCTGCAGGTTCATGCTGGGGTCCTGCATGACCAGCACTGCCAGGCTGGGGATGTAGACGCCAGCATAGCTCTCCCCCGTCAGGAAAAGCTCATTGTTTTTGTACTCCGGGAAGAGGCAGAAGAAATCCTTCAGGGCCTCGTAATTGCTCTGGGCCACCTGGGACAGGAAAGATAGAGGGAATCAGGCGATTGGCATTTGAGCTGGAAAGATCCTTCGAGATAATGGGACCAACCCACTTGCTTTGTGTAAGAGGAAGTGATTTGGCCCACACCACGGGGCTTGTGACAGGACCAAAAATGGACTTGGCGGCCTAGCTTTCTGCCCACATTGTGCACCCTTGGAGAGCGCTCTGAAGGCCGGGGCAGGTGGTGGGGCCCAGACTCACCTCGGTGTCGTTGGTCACGTAATGCTTGTCATCTGAGTAGGAGAAGCCCACCCCAGCTGGGGACTCCAGGTACAGCATGTTGGCAACCTAGAGGGGTGGCGAAAACCACGGGAGATGGCCCTGACCTATCCAGAACCCCAGCCACCCCTTCCCCACCCGACCGCCAGCGCTAGCTGTACCAGATTCCAAGAATAGGGGTTGTACTCCAGGGTGGTGCCATCCGGCTGGATCTAGGAAGGAAAGGGTGGGCAAAGTCCCAAGAGTGATTGAGAGCAGGTGGGCATTTGATATGGGGGCAGGAAGCCCTAGTGGTCAACCTGTATGGGTGGGTGGGGGCGGTGTAAACAGGCTCAGGAAGAGGGGGGATCACAAGGCCCTTTGGCCCCTTTTCCGAGTTCCTGGGGGAGGGAGCGGCTCTCCACTCACCAGGAAGGGGCCATGTTCTGTGAGCAGCCCATCAAGGGAGCTGCAGCCCGGTCCCCCATTGAGCCATAGCACCACTGGGCTGTTCTCAGGGTCCTTCTGGGCCTCCACAAACCTGGGAAAGGGGTCAGGCCAGGGTCACTGCAAGTCGCAGGGCCCCCTGAAGCTCTCCCCGACGCCACTCGTCGTCTCCCTTGGTGGGACACTTCAGGGCCCCTCGCCCCCAGCCCACCCAGGGAGGCAGGGCTGCCCACCAGTAGTGCAGATGCTTGCTGCCAGAGCCGCGGAGGTAGCCGGAGTACTGGCGGAAGCTCGGCTGCTTGGCCAGCCCGGGGAGGCTGGCGATCTTGTCCTGCGAGGGAGCTGCGTGGTTTCTGGGCGCCCAGGTCAGCAGCAACAGCAGCAGGGGCGACAGCGCAGCTCTGACCATCTGCGGAAAAAGGGCGCGGCACCTTCAGTTTCCGCGCTCCGTCGCTCCGCGGTGCCAGCCGGCAGCGCTCGGGCAGCGGACGCCTCCGGCCCAGCCCGTTTCCCACCCGCTGAGCTGCCGGACACCGCGACCCGGGGAGTCTTGCCAGCCGCCGGGCACCCCCTCACCTCTCCACCTCTGCTTCCTCGCGTCTCTGATGTCCAGGAGGCGCTCGGCGACTGGAAGTCATGTGTACTCCG